TTTCTAAATCAGAAGGTGGATACCAAATCATGCATCAAAATAAGCTTCTTTTAATAAAAGAGAAATTATTCTCCGTGGTCACCAAATTGTTCGGAGACGAATCATGATACGCCACGTCACCTAGTACATAGCATCGATACACAGTAAAAAAGTAACGTGTCGAGTCCTGATTTGCCTCCAAATACGTCCAGTGGCCGCATAAAATAATTTCTTTGGAATAATACATCTTTTTAATTATGTTGATTATAGAGCTTAAAGAAGGGGCTACATGTTAATTTCCTTAAGAAAAAAACTTATATTTTTTGACAATTTTAATTGGTGAACAAAATTAAGATACAGTGTTATAAGAAATATACGATATGCATAGTAGCAAAAGAAAAATAAATAAATAATTTAAAATTAATCAATTCGAATAAAAAAGAAGGCCAATATTGATTTTTCTTCCATAATAAAGAGAACATCTTAAAAAATCTCAATAGTACTCCACTATATCAATCGAAAGAGATTTTAATTATAAAATTTTAAGCTCCGTTTGGGACAGCTTATATTTTTAAAAGCTCGATTTTTAACCAATGTTTTAAACGAACTTTTCAAAAAAAAAATAGTTTTTAAAAGAAAGTTTTGAAAAAGCTATAATAAAGCTGTCATTCAAATAATATTAAAGCTGTCATTCAAATATATATTATTTTTTATTGATTATTTTTTCTAACATAAAAAAAATTGCCCCAAATAGAATCTTAATTGAAAGAAAATTATTGATATTAGCTATCTCATAATTATTTTATAGATCAGATAAAATAGTTTTGTAATTATCATAATTAAAAAACAACCAAATGAAGTAACCAATCACTTTTTTTAATATATTGTTTTGCAAAAACTTTTTTTTTTTATGAAAAAAATCATAATTAAAAAATAGTTAGAATGAGCTAAAATTTTTTGCATCTGCTTTGATATTAGTATAATACATATAGATTACACTCAATTTAAAGCATATTCAAAGATTTTGAAGTCTAATATGGCTAAGATTTAGACTTCGTTTGTAACAGCTTTATTAATACTTCAAACTGCTTTAAGAAGAAGTAAGAAAGTCTTTCCATGCATAGCCTTAATTAGGATATCTAATAGATTTTTTTTTTCTTTATTTTCTCTTATGCATCACTTTCTTAGAAGGAGAAAGAAACATCCATACTTCTCTATTGGTACACCAACGACCATTGCCTTCGATTTTTTGTAATAGTTTCTTATTACAAAATAAAAAGAAAATAAATAAATAAAACAAGTGTCATAGAATTAAAAAAAAAAATTAATAAGAAAATGTTTTAAAAAAGTGTCCCAGAAAATCTAAAATCCTATGATTTCAGGCACGTGTTTGACTTGAACTGGGCTAAATCTAATACGTTTGGCATTTGGGCCTAGTCTAAGAGGGTATCCCCTCTGATCTTATTGCATGACACATGTGATCCCTAAACACTAAAATAATTAATGCGTGCATAAGTGTCCAATTCATGAGTTGTCAGCAGTGTTATTTTACTTTCATGGAGATGAACAAATTCATATCAAAATTTTGAACTATTATATGCTGGTAATAAAATATAACCTAACCCAAAATATCATTATAGTTTATTTGATTGATGAATCTCCTACTCAGAATTTGTTCTCCCTTTCGCGTGCTCTGCTAGGGTTCGTTCTTTGGGGGCCACCGGCCTTCCCGGCCGCTTCTGGCTAATATTGTCCAGGTTCCTATGGTTTTTCTTCCTTTGTCGTTTCCTTTTTTTTTTTGTCTGTTCTTTTTGCGATCTGTCTTCTCTGTCCGTGCTCCGGTCGGCATGGCGGTTAACCGTGTGAAGGATCCTGATTTCCTTGATGGTAAGTCTTCTTCGCAATCTTTTCTTGAGGCGCTTTCTGCTAGTTCATCATCGCCTACTTTTCCCAACCTTAAAGCCTTCATTCACCGTGGTTTACCATCTCTTTGGGTTTCTGAGGAGGAGGTGCCCGCTTTGGCGGCGCCTTTCGAGTTTTTAGGGTAATGAATTTTCTAACGGTAATTCTTGTGCGGATGTTGAGGCTAATTCAGGTGTTAGGTCTGGGGATGGTAGCTCTTCTGGGGTGGTGGATGTGGCTGTTTCGATTTTGCAAGGCTCTATTCGTACTGTGAATTGTATGGACATTCCTATTTCTGTTATGTCTAACATCGAATTAAAAGCTCATCTGGATTGGTCATCAAATAGATCGATTTTGATTCAAAATGATTGGCTGGATATGAATGAGAAAATCTCAACTTCTTGTGAGGTTGTTGCGGATGATTTGAGTGGAAACGTGGATGATTAATTTATTCTCTTTGGTTTTGGCAAAAAACGATCTAAGAAGAAATAGCTTTTGGGTTGCCATCTTCGTTTTGTTTGCTGTGGGTTTTCTTGCGCTTTGGACAATGATGAGATAGCTCTCTGCTTATCACATTGTTGGTCATGGCTTGTTGGCAACCTTGGTGGTAAGCCTTCGCTTGGTGGTTGCCTTGGCTGCTGATCTTCTGTGTTTGTCACCAATTGATGACCCTGCCTGGCTGCGGGGTCATTGCAAGGAGCTGCTAACCTGAGTTCGCTTTTGGATCTCCCTCTGCATCCTTAACTGTCTTTTCTTGTTCTTCTTTTGATTTCTAGGCCTTTATCTGATGTTCTTTTATTTTCAGATCATCTTGTACTGTTTTATGCCTTTTTTAGATTTTTTTTTTTTGAAAAAAAATGATGAATCTCCTATTCATAAGTCCATTATGCTTGTGCAATTAAAAGCTTAGACATGATAACTTTTATTTGTCAACTTAAGACATTAATGATTGCCAATATACTATTGCCAGGTCACCACTATTGCTCGTTGATTAGTTATCCAACCAAGCTGTGAACCGAGCTGATTGATTGGCTCGGCCTAAGGGAAGAGTGGGGTTCAATTTTAGATCAAATAAAAAAACAATTGATGTAGTCATTATCAAAAGAAATCTAATATTATGCTATCATATATTTTAATCTTCAAAGACAAATTGATATGATTAATGAGGGTTCAAAGATATATTTGAGTAAATGCTTGAATAAGGTTTAAATAAGATACAAACAAAACTTTAATGTTTTGAAGGTTGTTTAAATATTACTAAATCATGAGTTGAATAGATAATGATGACTCAATGAATAGAACAATTATTTTAAAAAATTGAGCAAATAATGTTCAATCATTGTTCAAAGATCATTAAAATAGTTTAATTATCATTTAATGACAAATTTGATTAGAAGATGACTCTAACATTACAACTAGTGTGAACACTCAAATCTAATGAAGCTTATTTTCAATCCTAATAGTAAAAAAAAAAAAAAATATTACTAACCTTTGAAGTTAATAATAGGAAAAACTATTCTGTATGGACACTGGATGGCATCCAGAGACCAACCAGAAGACTTCACGTCACTTTTTTATTAGGTATTGAGTGACGTGACGCATTTTGGTTGGTATTCGGACCATCTAATGTCTGCGCAGAATAATTTCTCTAATAATAGAGCAAGATTCTCACATTAATTTTCACCCCACATTGAAGGCACATGCTCTATAATTGCCAAAAACAAAAAATGTGATAAAAATATTAATGAACCCCGAACATCGGACCTAGAAATAGGTCCGGATATCCAATTAAAATTTGACATATAAACTGCGCTTTGATTGTGCTTTGACTGCGCTTTACTTGCGTTTTTGGTGTGCTTGATTTAAAATTCTGCGGACACGTGCATTTCACATGTCAATATTTTATTGGTGTCCGAACATATCTCTACATCTGATGTCCGAACCTAATAATTTTCCTACAATTTGATGATCATATCTAACTATTCAGCGACGGTTCTAAGTATATTTGTTAAAAGATGAATATTTTAGTTTAAATGATACTTTTTTATATTTTTTCTAAGAAGTAAATTATCAATTATATATCTTAAAATTTGATTATTATTAGACAAATAAAGTCAAATTTTCTTTTAGCATGAAATGACAAACAGCTAAAGTTTGTTCTTTCATCTGCCTATATCGCCTGTTCCAATCTCTCTGCTATTTAGAATTTTAGATTGCTTTAACGATTTGAATTCTTTTGTTATTTTCCTGGCAGCTATAAATTGCGAGTCTTTCTTAACAGCTATCTCAAAAAAATAAAAAGATCATTTATATTTCATTTGGAATAATTTGCTTATTATTTTATAAAATAAAAATTTTTATACTTAAAATTACTGTTAGAAAACAGTTTAAAAATTATACCAAACAAAACCTTAATTTTATATTTAATTTTAAAATACTTTGAAGGACTTCAATAATCTTTTACCCTAACGATAAAATTGATTATCCAATTCTTCGAACGCTCAACCCATTGTCCACCTTTGATGTCAAAACATTGAAAGCATTAAAATCTTATGCATGCTCATGAGCATGGTAGGGCCAACATGTATTGGAGTAGGGATGTCAATTTCGAATTATGGATCGGGTTCGGGTCGAACCTGAAATTGACCCAGCACTATTTGGGTCAAACCCGAACCTGACCCGTTTGTAAAAACGGTTCGATTTTTGGTATCCGAACTCGACCCGCTTCGGGTTCGGGTCAACCCGACCCGACACGGATTTTCGACCCATTTGCTATCCGGGTCGATCCGAACCCATATTTTTCCAGGTTAGGTTCGGGTCGTGTCAAAATTTGACACCCCTATACTGGAGTGATGAAATTCAGGGGCTGTTTATTTTGTGAAAAATAAAATAAAATTCAGAGTAAAAGAAACATAATATATTTTAAATTATTTAGATGAATGTAAAGTAATATAAATATTTTTTTTTAAATTTAAAATAAAATAAATATATTATAAAGCCCTTTATTAGCAGTGATCGATGGCCGGAAATTGTAGACTGTTTCAATGCGACGATGAGCATTGGTGCATGCCGTGGCAACGGCTAACTACGATGGCAACAAGTGCAGTGGCGGATATCGATAGTGAAATTTGTCAAAATTAGATGAATTTTCAATAATAAGAAATAAAAATAAATGGTAGAGACAAACAAAGGCGCACCAAGAACAGCCCGACAAAGCTTTGGCAATCAATATTTAATGCCCGAGTTTGTATAAGGGAGACGAGGGCGCGGGCGCAGCAAATCATCCAGAAGTTCTATTCAAACGCAAGGCCCAAAATAGATGTTAGCCTGCCAAAAACGCCGAGTGAAATGTTAGTGCAAAAATTATAAATAAAAAAAACGTTAAAAGCGTGAACCAAAAATATTTAGAGAGAGAAAATTCAAAGAGAAGATTTCTTAAAAAAGCTCGAAAGAGTAGACTTTTCCCGCTTAGTAGTGTCCCTCCACAAGAGGGAACAACAACATCAAACTTTTATCCCACAACGTGAAGTCAGCTATATGAATCTTTTTTTTTTCCAATTGTATCATGTTAAGAATCAAATTCTCATTTAAATCTAATAAAGAAAGATCATTTATAATATTTTCTAACTATTTTTAGGTGTACCGCTACCTTTTTTTAACATAAGCCAAATCTAATATATCTACCCTCCTAACAGAATCATCGGAAGGTCAACGATTTATACTTTCATGCGACCAAACCAGCTAAGGCGTCTCTCTAATTTTATGTGCCACTGGAGCTACTCCAAACTTTTCACATATATGCTCGTTTTGTATTATATCTCTAAGAGTAAAGCCACTCATCCACCCGAGCAGCTTCATCTCTACAAAACTTAATATTATGCTTCTTTTCTAATGGCCAAAATTCTGCACCATAAAGCATTACAAGTCTCGCCACCATCTTATAGAATTGTCCCTTAATTTTAAGGGGTATTTTCCTATCACACAACTGACCTGATACTTTCCTCCACTTCAACCATCCAACTTGAATTCTACTAATAATATCCCCATTTATTTTACCATCACTTTGAACAATAAACTCGAGATGTCTAAAACATACTCTTATGAATGACTTGATCGCCCAAAGTCACAATCTACCATTAGATCTATTATTACTAAAAAATACACTACATACATCGGTTTTAGATCTAATCAAACAAAAACCTTTAGACACTAAGGTTGACCTCCATAGTTCAAGTTTACCTCTCAACTCTTTTTCTAGTCTTATCAACAAGAAGAATATCATCAGCAAAAAAACATACAGTAGGATACATCTTCTTGCAAATGTCTAGTAAGAACATCAAGATTGATCATTGTCGTAATCCAACAAAAATAGAAAAATACTTGTTCAAATTATCTTGTGTTTGAAAACAAGTAACAGCATACATATCCTTAATGATTTGAATATAAGCATATTAACCCCTTTCTTTTCTAAATCTCTCCATAGCACTTCTTTTTATTCTCTTGGAGCTTTTATCATATGTTTTATCTAAATCAATAAATATCATATATAGACCCTCATCTCTTTATATTTCTCTATCAAACCTCTTAATAAATATATAGCTTCCATAGTAGACTTACCTGGCATGAATCCAAATTGATTTTGAGAAAAATTAGTATTACATCATAACATATGCTTAACAACTCTCTCCCATAGTTTTAAAGTATGACACATTAACTTAATTCATCTATAATTCGCACAATGCATCACCTTTATTCTTAAACATAAGAATCAACACTCATTCTCCACTCCTCAACCATCTTTTGTCTTCAAAATAATATTAAAAAGTTTAGTAAGTCAAGAAATTCCTTTATCTCCTAAGCATTTCCACATCTCCATTGGAATATCATGATGTTTAATAGCCTTTTCACACTTAATTTTCTTTAAATAGTATCAACTTTGGTTTACTAATACACCAATAAAAATAAAGATATCTTCATTCAGGGTACTAAAGTCACTAAAGTCAATAATATTCTCACAATCTTTAATAGCTTATAAAAATATCTTATTCACATTTGTTGAATATCCTCTCTAATAAACACACTTTTTGATCTTCATTCTCAATGCAATTCATTTGAACTGAATCCTTACTACTATTATCTCTTTGCTTGACTAACTTATACATATATCTTTCGCCCTACTTAGTATCTAATCTATTGATATAAATCATTAAAACTTAGAATCTTTGTATTGCATATTGCTTTCTTAGACTTTTTATAAGCCTCTTTATATTTTCTCAACTTTTAGAGTTTTTTCATATAAACAAATTTTTATAACAAAGCTTTTTATTTTTAATCTTTTCCTGCATATTTTGATTCCATGACCAACTATTATTACTATTAGGAGTTTTTTCTTTTTGATACTCCAAGCACATCATTGTAGCATTTTTAATATTACTAGTTACTTTTTTCACACAGAATATTAGCTTCTTCGTGCACAGACAAAATCTTAAGATTTAGAATCTTACTCTAAAAAAATATTTTTATTGATGTTCTTTAAATTCCTTCATCTAATCCTAAAATAACATTTTACTTCATTTTTTATATTATATTCCTTCATCTCAAAATTCAAAACTAATAATTCACGTTATGTACATAAACTTTCACTCAGAATAACTTTACAATCTTTGCAATCAAAATGATATATTTTTCTTATAAGAAAAAAAATCAATATGAGTTTTACTGTATCAATTCTTATAAATGATGAGTAAAATCTAATATAATCTTATTACCTTCATTAGTCGCTCCAAATCCATAGCGATTATGAATGTTTTTAAAATCATCTACCTCCCTACCAACATGTCCATTTAAATCTTCTCCAATAAAAAACTCTTTCTTCAAGAGATATCTTTTGCATTAATTCTTTTAAGTCATTACAAAATTTTAATTTTGAACACATACCCAAACTTACTTGAGGAGCATAAACACTAATAATATTATTAATCTTAGCATCAACAATAATCATTAAAACTATAATTCTATGTTTAACTTTATTAATTTGCACAACATTATCTTTCAAACTATTATCTATAATCACACTTATAGGATTTCTAATATGAATCATACTTGATAGAAAGAAGCAATCCCCCAATACTTGTTTATTCTCACCTAGTTCGTTTGCATTCCATTGGCTTGATCTCTATCTCCATCAAGACCTAGCTCTTTTATTTTTATATGAACTAAATATTGATCAATTTCCAGCCATTGAGTTTCTTATCTCAAATTCTCAACCTCAAATGCAATTATGAATTATCTAGGTAATAGAAAGAATCAATCCCCCAAACATCACCCACAATAAATAAAATAAAGCAATTAAACTAAAAAAAGAAGAAGAAGAAAAAGAAAAGAAGCTCAATAACACACTAAAAAGTGATGTGGTGTGACTTACATAGAACAGATGATGACAAATGAAGAATATCACAATTTATTCACCAAATCAGTTGATTCAGGATGTACAGTACTTTATCATTTGCAGTATATAGCTTGGTCAATTTGTGGTGGAATTTGCTTGATTTCAGCTGCTAGTTCTTGCTCAATTCTATATCTGCCACATAAAACTTGAAGAGTTAAGAATAGGGAAAAAGCAAACAACTTCCTGACTGTACACCACATGATAAGGGAAATAGAACATACAAGTTGAACCGGTCCTCATAAGTGATCAAATTTACAGCTAGACCAAGATGACCAAACCTTCCTGAGCGACCAACCTGAAAATTTCAAAAATACAGATTTAGATAGAAAACAGCATTAATTAACAACTTAACTGAAACCATGAATAAACGAACAGTATACTAGCAGCTAAGTCCATTTAAAGCAGAGGGAGCTCTTTGCAAAGAATCAGCAAGTATAAAAGACAACCAAATTCAGAAAGAGTTCATTTAATAGACTTAACCAAACGAGGATAACAAATAAACGACAATAACCAACAATCTGTAGTGCGGCAAAAAGTTGCATAGAATCAGAGATTTCTCATACCCTATGTAGATATGTCTCCGAGTTCTTGGGGAAATCAAAGTTGATAACAACATTAACAGCTTGAATGTCAATCCCCCTGGTAAATAAATCTGACGAGGAAAAAACAAACTAGAATCAAAAGGTAGGCGCATAAATAATTTAAGCATTCTATCAATCTCAACATATATGTATATAAAACCTCAATCAGCATTTTGAACAAAAAAATCCAAAGTTCAAAATTGACAACTTATAGAAAAATACAAGACAATTTTCAAATTTCAGCAAATTATTCAATCATGGTAAACTGAATTAAAAAAAGAAAAGAAAAGCATCCATTAGATTATAAATAAGACTTATCTGTCACTTTGCAAATGACAGCACTCTATTACTTTCAAGAAATTAAAATTTGTTCAGTTAGAATATTTATATCAGTAAAAAAAGAGTTTATTGTCTTAGTGTCACACAAAAATTTCCTTGCACACAAATAAGTTGAGAACTAAAAAAATTTTTATAGAAGATCCACAAGAAGTACATAGAAGATCCACAAAAACTTTCTCAAGAGCAATACATAGAAGATCCACAATTTCTTTTATAAGGAGAACCAAAAAAAGTCAAAAAGCCTAGGGTTTAAGCCCAGCACATAAAATATCCAAAATTTTTACATGGAAAACCAAAAAAGTGAAAAAGCCCAGGGTTTAACTTAGTTGAAATGATTCCATTAATATGAACTCCACATGACAGATGGGAACTTTGAAGGTTCGACACATTTGGGATCCAAAGGTCAATGGAGTTCTACAAAGCCCAAAATGTCAAAAACTTTGAGGCGGCAATGGCAAACAATGACTATCACCCCAAAGATACACAAGAATTGATAGCGATAAGACTGGCACTGATACTATACATGGTCACCAATCATCCCATCAACAGGTTGGCTAGCATCGAGATTATTAAATAGCTCCTCAAGTTTGTCATCGCTGCCACTAGAGAACATGCACATAAGGCTGTTGGGTAGAGAGAGGCAGAGATGATGTCAGAGCCATAGGTCACCGAGAATGAGACGAAGTTAGTGACGGTGAAAGAGGGCATATCCAAATTTTGACTAGTGCAAGTCGATCATTATAAAGCACTACCTTCACTAACTGGAAAGTCATTAATACAATACTCCGGCCATGAACCATGAAAAATATCTTCATTGGTTGTAGAAGTCTTAAGATATTAGAATTAATGTTAAGTGATAATGAGCAGTAAACTTGGCCTGGGATCAAGTGATAAAAAAGACAGGCATCAGACAACCACCATTTAATTGGCATCTAGTGATAGTCAATAAGGAATGTCAATAGTCTATGGGAGGTTGATATATGTTGAACTTCGGTGATTGATATAGGTTTTTTGTCATCGGTAGGCATGGGTAATAATCAACATAAATGTCAAAAGTCCAGTGACAATGAGTAATTGGTGGGGTTATTCTTCTAATAAGAGGGGAGCAACAACAAAGAACATGGACAACAAACATTGGAACCTGACAAACATCCATTGTAGGTAGGCATTAGGCAATGATTGATGATAGCGGGTAGCACTGTCAGTTACAGACTGATGATTGGGTTGGTTACTCTCCTAATGGAATGGCATATTTAGTGATCGGTAAAGTAATAGTTGACGGATGTCAGTTACTAGTATGTGTCAACTTAGATCTACATTGGCATCAAGTAGTGGTGATGATAGGTGTTAATGGCAGTTGGCATATGGTGTTTGACAATGAAAGTTGGCATTGTCCAATGGCTAATGTCAAACAACATAAGACAAAGGTGAACTCTCTTCCAAGTCTTATCTCTTCTAAGTTTTCCTTCAATTGTGGCATCATAAAGATTATGTAAGCTATATCCGCTTTCACCAATCTTCAGAGAGTTGAGGATTTTTTACATAGTGACTATTTAGAAATTTCTGTCGAAAGCCCCACATTACGCAAAATATGATTTGATTGGCTATTTTTGTGTTCTAAATCTTTGTTGTGTAATCTATTGCTTGATCTAAATCATTGCTTTATTGTTTTCAATCACGATTTAAATCAAGGAAGTTGTCTAATTGCTCTAGCTCTTTCAAAGACAAAACATCAACATACGCATTTAGTCTTACATCAAGCAGGCTCATCAGCATCATTCATCTCAATTCCAAATTATTACGCATGTATTAGGTAAATTTAGTTAAGTATTTGGCAAATAAATGAAACCTAATCCCAAACTATTCATATGGCTACTTTTTGGCCAAAACAGCAGCAGTTTCCAGTAGTCTTCTAATAAACTTCGATCATAAAGCAGCTTCTTATAATAAAGAATTCCATAAAACCTCAACAGCAGCTGAAAGCGTATGAGATCGCTTACAAAAGATTCTTACCGGTGCAAACAAGATTCCTGCATGCACCATTTCGGAAATCATGGAAAACACGATTCCGATGGTCCTGCAACATTTTGGCATGAATATAAAAGCAAGAATAGCCAAGCTCTGTAATTTTCTTCGCCAGCAATTCTACCCGGTTAACAGAGTTGCAAAATATGATAGACTGGTTTATTTGAAGCTGGATAAGCAAACGAAAAATTGGACCATATCAACATCAAGGAGATGCACAATAAAAGGAAAACATAAAATCACTGCATAAGAAAAAGGAGAAGACCTTAGAGAAAAGAGTATTCAGGCAGTGAACCTTCTGCCTTTCTTCCACAAAAGCATAGTAGTGTGTAATACCCTTAAGGGTAAGCTCATCCATAAGATTAATTGTGAAGGGGTTTGAGAGATATCTGTCTTTAAAACCCTTGACAGTCACAGGAAAGGTTGCCGAAAACAACAATATCTGCCTTTTTGCAGGAAGAAATCCAATCAACTGCTCAATTGAAGGTTGAAACTCCGGAGACAGGAGTTTGTCAGCCTGTTTATGGAAATGCACCAACAAAAAACTGATCTATAAAAAATTTCTATGCAATGTAATCTATTATAAATATCCCACATCTTGGAAGATCACCTAGTTTCACAGTGCAACAGAGAATCTATGCATAAACATAGAAACCTCAAAGCAAAAGAAAAAAAAAAATCTTCCTCTAATTATTAATATTAGATAACATACAATAATTATTTAACTAGCATATATCTTATTAACAAAGATTTTTCATGACAAATTTCAATGCAAAAGGGCGGAATGTACAAATAAATCGTGAAGAACATAGTAATCTATGTTTAGCCTCAAGGAAAATGTGCTCAAAATAAATAAACTTTGCATTATATCGTTTCAAGAAAAATGGCAAAACATTCAAGGGCCAACATCAATAAAAAAATATAAAAAATTATGAAAAGTTTCTATTGCATCTTGGATTTGCAATAAGGGGGGTTGGAGAATCAAAGAAAAAAATAGAAATATGTTCAAGCTATGAGAACACGAACATTGAAAACAGTAGGATAATATAAATATAATAAATAAGGTACTCAATCACTTATTATACTTAAAAAATTTTGCAGAGATATTATAAATTTAAGACAAAAATGTATAAGTTGATCACAATAGAATAATGATCAAAAACCTCTAAAAAAGTTTAGACAAGAGAAATAAGATCATAAAATTATGAAGATATATTTTATCTGACCAACCAAAACATACCTCATCCACAATAAGCATGGAGCAATCTTTAAGAACACAAATATCCTTTCTAGCAAGATCAAGTATGCGACCTGGCGTTCCAACAACTAAATGAACAGGCTGATATAACCGCATAATGTCATCCTTCAAACTGGTTCCTCCAGTGGTGACCATAACCTGAATCTTCAAATACTTTCCAAGCTCCTTGCAAACTTGTGATGTCTGGAGAGCTAATTCTCGTGTAGGAACTAGTATCACAACTGGATTAATAGATACAAACAAAATTAGCCGCTATGAACGAGTACATTGAGGATTATCTTGTTTGCTGCTTCAAAAAAAAAAACCAACTAAATGGTTGTTAAATGCTAAGACAATCCTGAGGTGAACACCTTGGATGACATTTTTTGCTTGATCAATCTTCTCTAGAGCAGGAATGCAGAAGGCAGCTGTCTTCCCAGTTCCATTTTTAGCTCTAGCAAGAATATCCCTACCAGTTAGAGCAATTGGAATACTTTCCTCTTGAATGGGGGAAGGACTTTCAAATCCCTTCTCATAGATACCCATGAGTAGCTCTCTCTTCAAAAAATAATCTTCAAATTCATTTCCTTTAGTTGCAGTTACATCCTACAAAATGCAGATTCAAAGCTATGTTAATTGAATATGATATGTTTTACAGATATGTGGCATTTATGGGACCAAATTGAAAGGCAAGGAAACTTTAGATAAGCTATAGCAATCTAAATCTAACAAAGTACAATGAAATAATACAGTTCAGTAGGACAATGTAACAATAACGATTAAATTTTCCCACACGTAGAGGAAATGGTGCAACAGAAACTCTGGAGGTAGCGCCCTTTCCACTATTGTTTTCTCCCAAAAAAAAAAAGAATGTAAAAAATAGGCCCTAGCACCCCAATTAATTATCAAGGAGAATCAAATCCATGCCAACACAAGAAGGAATCTAGAGGGAGGCGTCTACAGGTGACACTACTCCAATGGTACATAAATGAAAGCTAAACACTAAAGGTCAGCTAAATCATCATGGATTGGCTACACCTACACCAACATATGTGTTGATTGCATCATGGCTACACTTTCATCGACTTGTTACAGCATGACTAGCTACATCCTCAAGGATCACGGGATGTTAAGGCATCCTTTATTCAGTGGTGCAAGGATCTTTGATATTTTCTTGTTTAGCAATACAGGATATTTTATCATCCAGTTATATCTATCTTTAGTAAAAGGATATCTTTAATGATATTTCAATCTACACAAATATATATATAAACACACACACACACGTCCCTCCCTCCCCCTCTCTCTAACCAGCTGTAAGCCCTAATCCATCTTTATCCCTTTAAGTAAGGCGAACTTTAAGACGGGCCGCTGATTATGCAATTTTAAATTATAACTTCAACCATAGCATAAGTTTCAAATACATTGAGCTTTAAGCCAATAGCTTCAATGCCTTGGGAATGATATTCACATTGAGGCTCCAAAAAAGGAAGCTTCAAATTAATCTTATAAATCAATGAGCATCAAATGTAAGCATTCTCCATCACTGAATTAAACTATGGATTTACCCAATGACTTCGTCAAAATCTAAGAGTTGCGTCAGATTAAGTGTAAAATGCCTGCATTATAATGCAGACAATTTTATAAACTAATGCAGCAACAAAGCATTGAAACTTTTACCTCGGTCTGGTAACGTGTATCAGGTGCGGGTATATTTAAATGTGATTTCCAATCTTGAATGCTGAGACCAAAAGAAAAAGGAATATGATAAACACTTCATAATATTAGCTAAACATAGTAAATAGAGAACAAAATGTGAAAATATAAAGAGGAAAAAAAGATAAATTATATTATATGTGCTTATATTCTCTCACGTATCATTTTCCAATGAATTTAGGTTCGGATTGACGTGTCGTATGAAATTCGATTAGATTCCTATATCAATTATTTGGTTCCAAGAAGAAGATTCAATCTTTTCCTTAAAAACAGGGAACTCTTGGTGTTATGTTCAATCAAGATAAGGAATACCAATCATTTATAACTTTTTTCAACAATTCAACTGCTTCAAGGAACATCAGTTCAATAGAGGCATTCCTCGGAAAAGTTTTTTCTCACTCTTGTTTCCTAAATGAAATTAGAAAAATACATCATTTGGATGCATTCCAATTAAATTGGTTTTTTTTATTTTTTTTTCATCACAATTATTCTGGAGAGGTATGAACAATCAGCCTATTGTAATATAGATCATGCATAAAATTATAACCAATTGACATTGTTCAACTTGTCCCTTGGGTTAGAAGATTGCATTACTCAATCTAGTCAACTCCATCAGCAATTGTTGGCCAATTTGAGGAAACCTTTAATAAAAGAAATACCTTAATCAGATTTACATATGGAAATTTTAAATTAATTAACATAATCACGATCATCAAAAAGCGGAAAAATCTTACAAAATTAGGCAATTGAACTACTATGAAAGAGCGATGAAAGGAGAGTTGAAGTTTGGAATTAACATCAGCAATTAAACCCATTTGAACAATAGAATTCCTGCACTAGTAAAGAATACCTAGAGAGAGCTACTCTTAATGAGAAAAAAATATATTTACAAGTGTTTATAGTTCGAGAGAAAGTTTAGTTGCTGTAAGAAGATTATCATAGTTAGTAACATGAATTTAACTGATACCTTCTAGTTAAGCTTTTCAGTCTATCAGTGTATTTTAAAAAGTAAAGCAAATACAATCCTCATCCCCCACTTAAAGGGTTATTATTGGCCAGAGGAATTAGGAGTGAAAAGTAAAGCAAATGCGCTTGTTTAATTTATTTATTTTTTAATGTTTGCTACAAAGTTAACATTAAGTATAATTTGGGTACATTTAAAATACATAAAAATGGCCATTTTGGCTGCATTTGAATCTCTGCAAACCAAGCAAATTTGGAATATATCATTGAACATAGCCCTCAAGCCCTTTGTCTCTTGCATTTCCTCCCTTAAATGTGGTATTCTCTCATAAAAAGACATTGATATGCTGCCATCACACCCCATCATTTCCCATGTCCTAATCGCACTGCTCGTCACACCTCCATTTGTCAATGCCGCCCACCTAAGAAATTGCCCTAGTTTTTTTTTTAATTATTTTTAAAGTTATTTTATACTAAAATTGTCCTGATAAAAGAATATTGCATTAATACATAATTAAAAATTTTCATCAACTCCCTCCCAAGTCTTATCAATAAGAAAAATATCATCAGCAAAAAGCATACACCAAGGTACATCTTGTAAATGTCAAGTAATAAGATCCATGACTAAAGCATAAAGATATGAGCTTAAAGTTGATCCTTGATGTAATCCAACTGAGTTTGAAAAATACTTAGTCAAACTGCCTTCTATTTGAACAGAAGTAACAATTTATGTATACATATCATTAATGACTTGAACATAAGCATTATTAACTCCTTTCTTTCTAGAACTCTCCAAAGCACTTCCCTATGAACTTTATCATATGCTTTAACTAAATCAATAAATATCATATGAGGATCCGCCTTACTCTCTCTATATATCTCAATCAACTCTCTCAACAAATGCATAGATTAAATAGTAGACCTACCCGACATGAATCCAAATTGATTTTGAGAAACATTAGAATCACGTCCTAATCTATGCTCAATTGCTCTCTCCCATAATTTTAATGTATAACACATTAATTTAATTCCTCTATAATTTGAACACTCTTGTGCATCACCTATATTTTTAAAAATAAAAATCAACACACACTTTCTTCACGCACGCATCTTTTTAGTCTACAAAATAATATTAAAAAAATCACTAAACAAAACAATTAGTTGATCTCATAAGCATTTCCGCACTTCTATGGGAATACCATCGGATCCTACTGTTTTTTCACACTTCATTTTATTTAAAATCTCTCCAACTTCAATTTTATTAAGACAATGAAAAAAATAAATTATTTATTTTCATTTAAGATACTAAAATCACTAAAGTCAATCGTATTATTATAATTTTCATTGAAAAGTTTATCAAACTATCTTTTTTGATATTCATTCTTAATGCATTTCACTTCACTCAAACTCTATTAATTTATATATCATTGTCTTTTAAAATCTTATTTATAATCACACCTACACTATTTCTAGTCCGACTTATACCTGAATACCGAAGTTTAAATCATAAACTACCAATTTCCATAGCCTTTTCCCTAACTCATTTGATTTCATGAACACATAATATTTATCTTCTTATAAATCATGATATCTATTAATTCCATTAATTTGCCTATAAGAGTACCTATATTCTAAGTTCATATCCTAATTCTAATTTTATAGACTAGCTTCTTTGTCCGCTTTCATCCATGATATGGGAACTCTTGTTTATTTAGCATTGCACCTGGACGTGGGTGCAGTGGCCCTTACACATTTTTCACTAAATTCAGACCATATAACACATCGATTCTAAGGAATGCTCTAGCATTAACACATTGTATTAAATGATTCATGTTATGATTGTCAGAAAGTTTTACGTAGGTTGTCAACTACCTAATGCAACCTTTCACTTTTCTCATCTAGGGCTAGGAACTAGTAATGATAGTGTTCACTATCCCTCTAATATAAAATTGTATAATTTCTTATTTATTTTAACACACATCCATCTTAATATTTCTCATTTGTGACATGTTCAACTATCCTAACAACATTTTTTTTCATTTTCCATCATCTAAATTCATATAACATAACTAATATAACTGAAATTTTATTAAACTTTCCTTAATTCTATATAATATTCATTTACCGTATAATAATCTTAAGATACTTCTCCAATTTAATCATCAAGCTTTCACTCTAAAGGTTATAACCTAATTTATGCCCCCATTCATCAGTACAATATGTCTAAGACACTTGAGATTATCATATTTAAGTATCACTTTCTTTTAAAACTATTAGCTAAAAATTGGTATAATCTTCTATAGAATTTCTACATTATTCTATCATTACATTATTTCAAATAGAGTTTTCAATGATGCACAAATCGACCTCATTTTGAATATATTTTATAAGAATTTCCATGATCAATAAAAAAAGATACAAATATAAAAAAAATGCATCAAGTGACCTCAATTTGAATGCCAGAATTTGAATACCAGTAAGAAAATATACTACCTTGGTCACTCCTCAAATACTAAGAAAATTTACCATCATACATAATTACTATAATTTCAATATGCAATTGAAAAAAAAAACTTTTTCCCCTCAATGTGCATTGCATCAACTATCAAAGCATTACAGCATATGCCTTCCCAAGATTAATAAAACCATATGACGAAGATTACTTCATTGCTTCTGCCTTTTTTTTTCATTCATTTCCTTGATATAAAAAACACATCCATGATGAATATTAGTGGCACAAATCAAATTGATTAGCTAATATTGATGTAAGTTTTCATAACCTATGCTCCACAACCCTCTTCTACAACTTCATTGTATGACTTAATAAATTTGACTATAATTAAAAAAATCACATCCATTATGAATATTAGTGGCACAAATCAAAATGATTAGCTAATATTGATGTAAGTTTTTATAACCTATGCTCCACAACCCTCTTCTACAGCTTCATTGTATGACTTAATAAATTTGACTATAATTAACATAATATTGAATATCTCCATTGCTAAATTGGTGCCACAATACTTCTTCTCCCATCATTTGACGTGTTTTTGGTCATCTAAAACAAATAAAAAGATTAATTGACTAAACTACTACAATATGACTCGTACAATCTAACTATGCATCTCATCGGGACCAAAAGCTTTGCCATTATAGCGTTAAAGTTAAATCCACTTCATTTTCATTTGGATCATTCAATATTCATTATGATATTCCAAAATGATTTCCCTTTAGAATAACATTTGCATATATTTTTAGTAAATAACTCCGTACGTGCTTCAAAGCAAGTGAAACGTCTGCCACGATTATGACTATACAAACCAATATGAATGTCAAACGCGTCGCTTTAATATATCACACACTGAAAAGAAAGAGGCTGAAGAAAAAAAATAGTAAAATCAAAGAGCAACACATATTTCATATACCTATGATTGCTGCCATATGATTGAACCTCTCCGACTTCCTCTCGGTTTCCTGAGTCGTTTCCAATCTCATTCCTTCGCAACCACCGTTGCTGCTGCTGCAATTGCTGGCCATGCTGGCTAGCTGAAAGATTCCCCTGCACGAACTGCTGCTGCGGCTGCGGCTGAGGCCTGCTTGCATAAAAATTAGAGCTGTTTCCCCCGCGTCCACTGCCGTTTCCGGGAGGATACCTCGCTCGATAATTCATATGATCGCTCGATTAAATCAACCTTCTAAATCACAAAATATGCTAATCTAGATCTAAAAGTCGACGGTTCATGCTAGATGGACTTCTAGAATTCAGCGGCACTAAGCTGTTTGGAGGATTCCTCCAGCAGCAGATAAAGGAATGTACGGAAGGATGAATGTCTGAGTGTGAACGAAATCAATTTTGACGGATCTATGCGATTTGAGGAATCATAAAAAGCTCCAAGAGACCAAGACGGAGAAGGGTTCCCATATCTAGTTTCGAAGAACTGAAGTACGATAAAGTGGCACGAGGAACCCTAGAATTTATAGTCCATTGAAATTAAATAAAAAAATAAATAAAGAGGAAAATGGTACGATTAGGACGGCCGCGTGGAAATGATTTTAGGGTATTGACTTATGACGTAGGAAACCGTCGATGAGAAAATCGCCGAAAAATTATTTGTCATTTTTTACTTTTTTCATGTATTATATAATGTTTGCAAAATAGAAAAAATAAATAAAGATAATTTTAATTATGATGAAATGATAAATTTGAAAATTTTTGCATCAAATTTTAAAATAATTTGTTATCGTATATTTTCTTTTCTTCAGCATAAGACAATACAAAAAAAGATTATTCACAATAATTTTAAAATAAAATAATAAATTTTTAATTGTTTCTACAAAATAGAGATTCACTATATTATGAATTTAAAGAGGTTTTGGTAAATATTAGTCACATATTTTTAAAATCATAATGTATGAGTTTAGTCACATATTATTAAAAATTATTTAATATTTTATCAACTTTTAAATCGTTATAAAGACTATTGATATGTCTTTAAAAAATTCATTTTGAAGAACACAAATCTTAATACAATGCTTGAAAACTTTCATAATTATATTCAAAATTATTGGAATATCGTATTTCAAAAATTTATAATTAAATTGAGCATTTTGATGAAATAAATCCAACAATACTAAAGGCGGTTTCATTCGTTTCTAAATAAGCCCAAATCAATTACTTGAAGGATATTTAAAAACTTTGAGACATTATTTGAAAGTCCAATTGACCTCCAAATTTTATATGCTTATAATCAAAATGAGTTACTCGACAAGTTGAATCCAACAAAGCCTGAGATCACTTGATTATAAGGTCATTAAATCACATAAATAGTAAATACTGAATAAATCATTTATGATCAAAATATTTTATATGAGCTGTTAGATAAAGTTTTATGAAATTTTGATTAAATTTATCAAAATATCCACTTTAAGAGTATTATAAAATGAATCTCATTCTCCATGTAAAGGGAACCGAGACTTGAATTTGGAGAGAACTTTGAGATTTGAAAAACTCTAGTGCTCTATTTGATGTTGCCGACAATCACTGCTTGCCACTATCATCGTCCGACTATTATCATTCTATCTTTGTAACCAGATTGTTGTTGCCTAATTGTCATTATCCATTCAACATTATCCAACTACTATCATCTTCTGATTAATGTCACTTTGACATATCGTTCGATTAATATCATCTAACTAACACTATTTATCATATGTCTAATACTATCTAACTATTTCATCTTTAGAATTCTCCCGTATTTATTAAATTGCGCTACATACTTTATAATCCCATATTCTCCAATTAAGTGGAAGAATAGACTCTTGTAATCTATTATATAATGAATCATTTTATGTGGGACACACCTTATGATCTACTCTCTTTCCATATTTTCTACATAAAAATTATGAGGTATGTTGGATTCTTTTTTATTGATGTGTGTTGGATCTTCGTAAAAAAATAAGACCTTAAAATTCACTCCATATCGCAAAAAAATTTTTAGCATCCAACAAATACCCATATTATTACCAATTAAGCTTTATATTATATATATATTCAAAACTATTATGAATTAGAATTTTATGCCAAGATCAGAACTTATGGCAACATGTTTTTTTTCAAATATTGATACATACAATTGCAAAATCAAAAAAAAATTTAATGGTGACACATAAATTAATTTTATTATTTTCTTAGCACTAACTAAATGTATATTATTAAGTTAATTTTATTACCAACAATAGCACAGGAAGATAGATTCAAACACATCTCATGCATATACATACACATTCCCATAATGATCATAGTGACAAACAAATGGGGGACAAATAAATGCTCAATATAATATGAAGTTCATCACTGATGAAAGAAAAAAAAAAATGAAACAAATTAGTCTAAGGTTTCGTTTGGGACAACTTTCGCACTGCTTTCTAAAACGGCTTTCTAGTATAAAAATTTCTAATTCAAGAAATTGCTATACTAAAAAGTTATTTTAAAAAGCAACAAAAAGCTGTTCCAAACGAAGCCTAAATCAAATTCTATTTCTGATCAACACTGGCACCAACAGCATCAGGTGATTGCAAGCCAACTGAACTTTTAACCATTTTTTCTAATTCATTAGCATCTAATGATTCACGAACTCCTTCCCTTATTTCTGTTATTAAGCTCTCCATCTTATGCTTATCTTTGCTTGGACCTTTGTCTATCTCTAGCCTCAACTCATCTAACTTACCTCTCAATCCAGTCCTCTCAACCAGCTTCTCTATTTCAGTGAAGATCACTTCATTTGCTATCCTTACCTTCTCTAACAAAATCGGTGGGGCTGAAGAAGTTATCTTCCTGTTCACTCCCAGTACCTCAAAGTCTGCAGATTTCAGCATTTCCATTATGTCTTCCTTAGCTTGATCAACTTTCTTAAGTGTATCATCATCCAATTCCTCTCCCTTTGCCACCAAATCTCGTGCCTTACTCAATATCTTCATCTTCTCTTTTGCCTTATTTTGTAGCTTGTCGTTGATAGCCTTCTTCAGCATCTCTCCCTTTCTCTTGTGCTCTTGTAGCATGTTTATCTCTGATAACGTTTTGAGCTTCTGCTTTAGTCCATCAAATGATTCAGAGCTAGATAAGTTGATCTTAAATTCTTGAGCAAGTCTATCTACCCTGTCTTTAAGCGTTGGACCAAGATCTTGATCTGAGGGTGCTTTTGATAGATCCATCTTTAGAGCTTGAAGTTTCTCCTGTAGGCCCATTGCAATAAAAGCATTGGTAGTCTCCTTGTCCACGTCTTGTTTCACCAACTGCACATCCTCGTCGGAAAAAACAGGTAAAGGGGATGTCTCCTTCGCTTTTAATACAGATTTCTTGATTTCTTCGAGTTCTGCCTCCAGATTTGCTGCTATTTCAGAAATGTTAACATCCTTCTTCTTCATGTTACGTTTCAGCTCTGGTTCCACATAGCCGCCTTCCTGGAAACCACCAAGTTGTCGGAACTTCAAATGTCTATGGCCAAGCAAAGTATCAGTATCCATTTCCGTGAGTTCCTGCAAAATACTGAAGTTTTAGGCTTAAAAATGCTGTGTGGAATCATAATATCATAAGTGTTATCAGGTTTATCCTAAATAACTGTAGACAACTTTATGAATGATTATCCTTCGAGAAACATTCCATTAAAAAAGAGTACACTGTTAATTCTGTTATGGGATGTTAATTTTATTTTGTGTTAAGTTTTTATGTACAAATAATAGTCATGTTATTTTGGTTCATCACTTTTTCGTTCCTATTCCGAAATTGTTAATTGTATAAACTCATTTTATTGTTGTCTTCTTCCCTTTCTTGTTCACGCCTAAATCATTGAAATCCACTTTTGACTATGTTAATCATTCAGTAATGCTAGCTCCAACATCAGTATAATATAATAATTTCTCAGCTTGTTACAGATTTTTTTGTTGCTCAACTGTAAGATTTAACATTAAAAAATTTTATTGTGATTTTATAAAATGTATATTTAAGCCAGCATAATATTTACAAGGTTTGTCATCACATTATTACCCTTCTGACATTTCTATTCAACCACTCAACTTTTAATCTACAAGTTATATTCTCATTCTTTTCACTTAACTTTTCATAATTATTAATATAAAATTTACTAAAATTCAATTCCACAAATTCTAGGTTATCCCATAAAGGAATAATTTTTCATTTACTTCACAACTTCTGTCAAAAATATAGTCTGCAAATAACATCAACATGTAAACCTCTGTTTGAAGTCTTTTACTTCATTATTAATATGTAAAAAAAATTAATATTGAAGTTTATTGCAATCCTACTGTGACTCAAAACTATTTCATACTCCAGAACAACTAGTATTTCTCAATACTTGAATTATGCATATTCTTGATAACTTGATATATTTGACACTTTATTTTTAACACTCACTAAATTAATGCTAATAGTACACTATCATAAGCATGATAAGCAAACCTAACAATAATCAATAAAACAACAGGAAAACAGAAAAAAATTTGGTGGAAAAAAATCAAACGATAGATAGTCTTATAAAAAGCAAAGTGAAAAAAGAACGAAGCAAAGATACAATTGATCCTCAATTCGAGAGGAGGATCGTTCTCACCCAATCTCTATACAAGAAGCTTAGAGCCCAAGACACCAAAGAGACTCCAAAAGAAATCCAAAATTTTGCATGCCCTAACCCTAGCCTCTTCTCATCCTTAAATACAAATCTTCCTAATAAAAAACTTCCTAACATAAACCAATATAAAAAACTCTCCTTATGAACTAGCCGCCCGTTTCTCTCTCTCATGCTGCCGCCTCAAGGGGGGCCCACATGTTGGGCGAAACAAATTAAGGAAGCGGCTTAGCCCACCTCCTGTAGAACTGGACCGGCCCCTCATGGGCCAGTCTGTTTAGTTCCGTAACACTACCCCGCTACCAAAGAACCACCTTGTCCTCAAAGTGAAAGCTCGAAAACTGATGTTTCATCCTCTCGTATGGCTCCCACGTGGTATCGTAGTCTGGAAGGTTTTTCCACTTAATCAGCACTTCTTTTCCTCCCTCCTCTCTCTGGCAAACCCCAACAGTTCTAAGGGTTCGAAGATCACCTCTACCTCCTCCTTGAGTGTCCCTAGTAACTCTGATCTGGCTGTATAATCCCCAATTGCTCTCCTCAATTGGGATACATGAAAGACAAGGTGTATAGTTGTCGTTGATGGTAGCTTCAGGCGATATGCCACCACTCCAATCTTCTTCAAGACTTCATATGGCCCAAAGTATCAGGGGCAAACTTCTCATTCCTCCTGTTGGCGACGGATTTCTGCCTATACGGTATGAGCTTCAAAAACCTTTCGCCTACCTCAAACTAAATGTTTCTTTATGATTTGTTGAGTCCTCAATAGATGCCTTTTTAATTCTTCCAATACCCTGTCCCTTTCTTGTAAGTACTCCACTGAAGAGACTGGAGTACTGGTACTCCCAACGTGCACCAAGTGAGGCAGATCCCTTCCGTACAACGCCTTGAACTGGGTCATATGAGAAGCCGAATGATAGGAGGTGTTGTACCAATACTATGCCCATGATAACCATTTGGCCCGTATTTTGGGTGTCTCTGACACAAAGCATTTGAGGTAGGTCTCTAAGCTCCTGTTGACCACTTCTGTTTGGCCATCCGTCTGTGGGTGGTAGGCAGTACTCATTTTCAAAGATATTCCATGCATTCTGAATAGCTCTCTTCAAAAATGGCTGAGGAACACCTTATCCCTGTCGAATACTATTGCCTCTGGTACCCCATGTAGTTTAACTACCTTTCTGATGAATGCTGATGCTACTGTCACTAGAGTGTAGGGATGTGATAGGAGGATGAAGTGAGCATAATTGCTCAATCTATCCACTACTACCAAGATCACCGTGAAACCTTTGAAACGGGGCAGCCCATCTATGAAGTCCATAGATACATCCTCCCACACTCGACCTAGTAACGCCAGTGGCTGTAGTAATCCTCCTGGCAACATGGATAAATACTTGTTCCTCTAGCATGTCTCATATCTGGACACCAACTCCACATCCTAATGCATTCCCTTCCAGTACAACTCCAAGGCTAGCCTCCTGTAGGTCTTCTGCACCCCTGAGTGACCCCCAATTGCACTCCCATGGAACTCCTGCAGCAAGTATGGAATGTAGACTGATGTCTGAGGCATCACAAACCTTGGTATACCAGCCTCTCCCCCTCCAAAAATACCCCGGGTGGCTACTCTCTTCCCTAAGTAAGTCGGCCCTGATCTTGCCTAACTCCTCATCTGTGGCACTTTCCTCCTGGATGGCCTCCCAATCTAACATTAATGGGATAGACAAAGCCATCACCTGCCACTCCCCCATACATCTGGACAAGGCATCAGCTGCCTTGTTTTCCACTCCTAGTCTATACTGAATTTCAAAATTATATCCCAGCAATTTGGACAACCATCTATGATGCTCCTCTATCACCATCCGCTACTCCAACAAGTATTTCAGGCTTCACTGGTCTGTCTTGATAATGAAATGCCTACTTAGTAGGTAGGGCCGCCACTTATGGATGGCTAACACAATGCCCATCAGCTATCACTTATAGACTGATTTTAGCCTGGCCCTGACTGTTAACACTTGGCTAAAATATGTATGGGTAGACGATTCTGCATGAGTACTGTCCTTAGTCCGTATCCTGAAGCATCTGTCTCCACTATAAAAGCCTGCGTGAAGTCTGATAAATCTAAGATCGATGCCATAGTCATAACCTTCTTTAGTCTTTCAAATGCTGTTGTGGCCGCCTCTCCCCATAAAAACCCATCTTTCTTCAACTGCTCTGTTAGTGGCCATGCTATAGTGTTGTACCCTTTTACAAACCTCTTATAGTACCCTGTAAGTCCTAAGAATCCTCTCAATTCTTTCAAATTCTTAAGGGCCACCTCAATTTTTGACTGGTCAGCTGCCACTCATTTATAAACGATATGCCCTACATATTCCACACTGGTCTCGACAAAACAACACTTCTTCAGGTCGACCCTCAGCTGATGTTCCTGTAGAACTCCCAAGACCATCTTCAAGTGTTCTTGATGCTCCTAATCAATTATGTTGTATACTAGTATGTCATCAAAAAATGCCAACATAAACTTCCGGAGGTACTGCCTCAACACCCAGTTCATCAGTGACTAGAAAGTAACAGGGGCGTTGGTAAGCCCAAATAGTATAACCAAAAACTCGTAGTGCCCCTCGTGTGTCCTGAAAGCTATCTTGGAGATGTCTGCTTCCCTCATTCTGATCTAATGGTATCCAGACTTCAAATCCAACTCGGAGAATATCATTGCTCCATACAGTTCATCCAATAGCTCATTAATCACCTAAATAGGGAACTTATCGAACAATGTCCCCTTGTTCAAAGTTCTGTAGTTCACACAAAACTGCTAGCTCCCATCCTTCTTCTTGACCAGAAGGATTTGATGAGAGAAAGGACTCACACAGCCGATGATTCCTGCCTCCAGCATCTCACGGATCAGCTTTTCAATCTCATCCTTCTGAGATTGAGGATATCGATAGGGTCTGACGCTGATGGGTGACACCCCTTCCCTCAGGATGATGACATGCTCCTGCTCCCTCAGTGGTGACAAACCCTGAGGTGAATGAAACACCTCTTAAAATTGCTGAATCAACGATTGTATGAAGGTGGGTATGTCTCCTCCCTCTTCCAATCTAACTCCCTCCAAATTTTGTAACTCCACCAAATATCCTCCACCCACCAACTGTATATTCCTCACCATATTTTTAAGTGAAACCATGAATTTGGATAGCCCTGCATCTCCCTTGATCACTACCTTTCTCCCATCCACCATCAACACCATCGTGAGTGCTCCCCAATTAACCTTGGTGTCTCCCAAGCTCTGCAGCCACTTCATCCCCAAGATGATAATGTACTTCCTAACTCTAGTGAAAGAAAATCTTCCCTCACCTAAATCTCTTGGATAGTTAGTAACACTCCTCTAAAGATCCCCTAGCATTTCTCCACCTTTCCCGTACTCATCATCACCCCATAATAACCGGTATCCACCAATTTCACTCCCAATTGGTCGACGACCTGAGTGAAAATGAAATTGTGGATAGCCCCACTATTAATTAGCACCACCACCACCCTGTCCTCTATCTCCCCCTTCACCTTCATGGTATGAATCGTAGTGAATCCTACCACTGAGTTCAAGAAAGCCTCGGCCAGATCCATATACAACTTCTCCTCCAACTCTTCCTCTAACTCCCCCTCACCTCCCTCCTCAGTTTCCTTGTCATCATAGATGATGAGAACCTGAAGAGTTCGGTCTTTGCACCGATGCCTTAGCATATACTTCTCCTCGCAACTGAAATAAAACCCATTTTCCCTCTTCTCCTGCATCTCTTTCTCTGTCAGCCTCTTGAAATTTTTCCCACTTCCTCCTACTGTCTTCTCTCTGGTGGTCTCCCGATTTTCTCCTGTTGCATGACCTTTAAGAGCTAGATGAGTTGTCATCAT